GTACTGCAATAAAATGTGCTGACTTGGTTAATCTATCCACAACTACCCAAACTGGATCGTGATTACTACTAGTACGAGGTAATCTGCACACGAAATCCATGGTAACATGATCCCACTCCCACTCTGGTATAGGTAAGGGTTGTAGTTTCCCCGCAAGTTTCTAATATTCTACTTTAACTTGTTGACACACCAAACACTGAGCCACAAATTGTGCAATATCTCCCTTTATACCATTCCACCAAAAATGTTCATAAAGATCCCGATACATCTTAGTACTTCCAAGATGAATGCTATTACTATAACTAGATCTAGGTGCCTCCATCATAATCTCCTTCCTCAAATCACCACCAGCAGAAACACAAATTTGTCTACGAAATCTAAGCAACCCGTCATCACTAACCACAAAGTCTACATTCTTACCCTCTGCCATCTCTCCTTTAATACGCTCACACTGGGGGTCAATCTCCTGTGCTAAACGAATCCGTTCTCTCAAGGTTGGCTGAACTGTCAATTGACTACAATAAGCCGTATTACCAGGTGTAACAACCTCAAGCCTCAAACGTCTCATGTCTTCCACCAAACAGCTCTCAATAGACAAAGTAGCTACATCTCCAACTGCGACCTTCCTACTCAAGGCATCTGCAACCACATTTGCCTTCCCCGGATGATATAAAATATTCACATCATAATCTTTTAGTAACTCAAGCCATCTTCTTTGCCTCAAATTTAGTTCCTTCTGTGTGAAAATATACTTCAAACTCTTATGATCAGTGTAAATCTCACATGACTCTCCATACAAATAATGCCACCAGATCTGAAGAGCGAAAATCACTGCTGCTAACTCTAAGTCGTGCGTAGGATAGTTTCTCTCATGTACTTTCAACTGTCATGACGCATAAGCAATCACCTTCCCATGCTGCATGAGCACACATCCTAAACCCTATCGTGAAGCATCACTATAAATCACAAAACTACCACCACCTGTAAGTAAGGCAAGGATTAGAGCTAATATCAACCTTTGTTTAAACTCTTGGAAGCTGCACTCACAATCATCATTCCACTCAAACTTACCTCTTTCCTAGTGAGATTTATAAATGGCAAAGCAATACGGGAGAATCCTTCTACAAACTGTCTATAATATCCAGCGAGCCCTAGAAAGCTACGTACCTCTATCACAGAAGTAGGTCGAGGCTAATCAATATTTACTGCCACCTTCGTACTATCCACAAATACCCCATCTTTACTTACCACATGACCCAAAAAGGATACACTACTCAACTAGAATTCACACTTCTTAAATTTTGCACACAATCTCTTCTCCCTAAGGATCTAAAATACTACCCTCAAATACTGCTCATGCTCCTCTTTACTCCTCGAATAAATTAGGATGTCATCAATAATCACTACCACAATTTATCTAGTTGGGGTTTGGATACTCTGTTCATCAAATCCATGAATGCGGTTGTTGTATTTGTGAGACCAAAATGCATCGCCAAAAACTCATAATGCCCATAACGGATTCTAAAAGCTGTATTAGGAACATCCTTATTCCTTGCCTTCAACTAGAGATAGCCTGACCTCAAGTCCATCTTAGAGAATACCTAGGCTCCCTGTAATTGGTCAAATAGGTCATCAATACATGGCAAAGGATACCTATTCTTCACTGTGACTTTGTTCGGTTCTCTATAATCAATACACAATCTCATACACCCATCTTTCTTCTTCACAAACAACACAGGTGCTCCCCAAGGTGACATGCTAAAACTAATAAAACCTTTGTCTAGCAACTCCTGTAACTGAGTTTGTAACTCCCTCAACTCCAACGGTGCCATTCTATAGGGTGCTTTAGAGATAGGTGTTGTATTAAGGACCAAGTCAATGGAAAATTCAACCTCACGGTCTGGAGGAAGACCAGGTAGATCCTCTGGAAAAACATCAACAAATTCCCTCACTACAGGCAGCTCCTCTAACCTCTGTTCTGGTTGTTCAATACTCATCACACAAGCTAAATAACCATGACACCCTTTTCTCAACATTCGATTAGCCTGAAGGGAAGAAATAAAACAAATAGAAGACCCTTTCACATCTCCCTGAAAGAAAAACTCATGTTGCCTTGGCATAGCAAAAACTAAGCTCTTTCTAAACCAATCAACAGAGGCGTGATGCTTCGTCAACAAATCCATACTCAAAATCACGTCAAAATCCTTCATCTCTAAAGAAATCAAATCCACTAGAAAAATCCAACCATCCAAGTTTACCCACAAGATCTACAGATATCTCCCAATACAACTGTTTCTCCTAATGGAGTAGACACGGTAATACAAACATCAAAGGCTCACAAAGAATAGACAATCTGTGTAAATATCAATGTGCCAACTCTTAACCTTCAAAATGAAATCAAGAAAAGCTCAACACAAGCTTAAACAAAACTAAGTTAACCAAACACTACTATGGACTATAGGGACTCGGACCTCGTCTAAATGATGAAATGCAAGATATGTAACTTGATAAATCTACAGCTCTGATACCACAATTGTCACACCCCAAATCCGGGCATGACCGGCCGTGGCCCACAGGGACTTAGCCCAAGGCACACGTAAGCCTAAACACGAATCCAATCACATTGAACAACTGAACAATAGTCCAATAATAAATAACCAAAACTCAATCCAGACACATGTCACAATTATAAACGGCAAAATCAACCGTAATCAAAAACCATCCAAACTTATGGGATATAAACAACCCACATATAAAAAATAATCCTAAATGAACTTCGATAAGAATAAATATAAATATGCACAAACTTGACATAACACTCCAAACTAAAGGAATGCCCTAGAGGTCCATGCAATTGAGTCCCCGCTACGCCATGAGTCCACTCTAAATCCTTCTAACACCTGGAAATGATAAAAACTAAGTCAGCTGATAGCTCAGTAAGTAGCAACATGGATAGTAAATACAGTTTTGAAAACATGGTTCAATTCCAAAATAAGATATATATATCCCAGAAACTAGATTGGCATACAGTTTGGTAAATACAATCTGTTTCAAAAAGAAGGTAAAAAAGCATTTTGAATGATGCGCCAAGCCTCGGTGCATGCAATACGAATGAATGGATGCAAGCATAAGGCATAAGGTATGTTAATCGAAACATGTCCCTAATTTAACCATCAAAAGCGATTAAATAAAAGGGAGAAAAATGTGGCGTTGGAAGACATACAAACACGCATGCACACTTATTACAACATTACGCCCTCGCGAAGGACGGTCCGAATGAATAAACTAA